CAGTAGACCAATCAAATAGAGCTCATGTCAACGCGTACCGTCTACGTGGCACCGTTCTCGCCGTGGTTACCTTTTGGTGGTCGTGGCGGATGCGAGTTAAGTTGCTCTTCGACGTCCCGAAAAATCAATCGTGGATAGACACAGACAGCGTTTGGCTGCTGTTCCCTGTACCTGTTCGACATCCACGTCAAAACGAAAACCCATGCCGAACGCGCGAATGAACGTGAAAGCATGCGAACGTCTTGATGCTACAGTACGACAACAACGATTTCCCCTCGACAGCGACTACAGCTTTTCCACCGGCTGGCTTGTGCGCATTGTTTTTGTTCTATCCAAGCGCGGACGGACAGACGTAGACGCCTTTCGGAATGAAACGACTTTGTCCTCGCTAGACTACGAACGGGAGGTGACACGCTTTCCGCCAGACCAATTCGTATCGAGACTCCCGACAGTGCATCCTCGCCTTATATGGTTTAGCGTCAATAGCATTTGATGCTGCAAATTGTTGGGACCTTAACATGATCACCTGTCGTGTCCCATTGGACCCACGACTCCAATCAATTTGGATGTTCAACGAGGCGACACCGTGTTCCTATGCATCAATCGATGTTGATCTTTCGATGTTCGCTTTCGGTCAAACAGATTGCTGGTCCCCTCTCTACCAAGGGTCTACGTGAATAAATTGTTCCGCACACACACCCCATCCCCGCGGCAGGGCAATTTCGATTTCTGTCATATATAGGAATTAGTAGTGGGGACTTCGTTCATGAAAGTAAGTCTTGCACCCAAGGGGTTTCTATCCGCGGTGCCCCTTACCAAATTTGTAGAAAATAGAGTCCCACATCACTCCCCCCTTCCCACGGACCTTCCCACGGACCCCGATTTTCGATTAAATAGCGGGCCAATGTGTCTTGAATTTGTTTTCACGTTGACCCTTACCTCCACGTACACTTAACAGGATCGATTCTTCATGGTTCGACATGGCGACTGACCGAACCAAAATTGAAGGGGGCCGGGCGCCCTGGTCCAAACGCCCCTCCTCGAGCCGAAAGAACTGTGACCGGTGTTTCCAGAAGAAGGTCAGTGGAGAGGATCAATAGATAAGGACGGACGGCTTACTTTGTACTGGTGCGGCCATGACGCCTGTCCTCTGGTTGTCATTGCTGGACCTAGTACAGAGAGTGGTTCCGACAGAGAACGGCGCGGCACGTTCTTCACTGTACCATCATCTCCAGCGCTAGCTGACGGATCTGCAGCTTGTCGTGACATTGAGCTCTCGGTTCCAGTATGATGTCCTGTGACTCCTTATCTACGATCGGCAGCGATGAGGCTGCTGTTACTGGTACTACAGTGTTCTCTAGGCGTTGTAGACTCCGATGTATGACGATCTCATTTCAAGCAAATGCGTAATGTTCGGTACCATGACCCCCAAACCACCTCACACGACGATATCTATCCCAACGGAGAGAACCAGCAAGCGGTCTGATAGTATGCGTTTCCCTGCACGTGAGGAACGAAACAAAATCGAAGTCAACCAAATGAAAGAAAGATGTAGGCGATCGTGCCAGGGCCTGCTAAAACGTCCCTAACGGTTGTCTCATGAGGCACGAAGGATGGTAGAAAAGTCAGGTGTGGCAGTCCGCCTGATCCGTACTGGAAAATGGCCTCCCTGAACAGCAGGAGTGTTTTTCAGCATTGGTAGGCCCACCTTGACACGGCAATGGCTTGTATCAATGACCCAAGTGTTTGCATCGTGTCCTTGCCGCTACAGACAAAATTCTCTGCGCCGTTCGGCAAGGACAGCCCGTGCCGGTCGTGCCGAAAGAATGGGGTCGATTGCGTCTTCTCTGACCGGCAGAAGACGGGGCCCAAGGCAAAAGGGGCCAAAGGAGTGTCAAGCTAACCGGGAGTAAGTTCCGTCACCCAGGGCGGAAGGGTGGGCAGGACCGTCGAAGAACCTATCAGGGCTGCGTCGGGGAGGGCACGGTCATCGACCACTCAAACGGTACGAGATCCAGCATAGTCTACACATTAAGCTCCGTTTCATCCTGTTGCTGTGTCGTTTATTGAAGGATTTGTATTACCACACCCTACTTTTTAGGCCGCAGGCAACATGAAGTCGCCCACGGAAACCAAATCCGCCAGAAAGTATCCAGTAGTCTGTTTCATTGCGTTGTGTGCCTTGGTTTACCAAGGACGGCCCTACAGTAGGTTGGGGAAAGCTTCTTCACCCACCCCCTCAACCCTGCTCACTTTTGACCACCTAGTCTGGGTCTTGCATCCCGGTGGACCACGGCATACTGGTAAGGAATGGGGGTGTTGCTCGTGACATTGATAGACAGTAGAAGAAGGTGACGAGGCGCATTCCTCAGCGTAGAAATCAAGAATATGTTCCCCATGAGTTTTACCCGAACTACTGGACAAAATGAAGTGAGGTGAGGCATACTGTCAAATGGAATATGAGAGTTGGAATTCGAATGGACCCGCACGACCTGTTCAATGATCATGTCGCCACGATACATTGCCTCCTCTCGCGTGATCGACTGAATGCCCACCCGGAGATTCGCGGTCGATGCCAATAACTCCAACTCCGATGCCGCACAGACGTCGGTCGCCGGGGTCAAGGCCAACAATGGCAATCGCCAGAAGGAACTGCGGGCGGACATGCACGCCATCGGTGATAGGTTAACCGTCAGGTGGGTCTTTCACACGTAATAATACTGCTCTAAAAAACGGGGTAGGTCTGCTTCGGAACATAGGTACGCCGTATTGTCATCGTGGAGAATATGGTGTAGGCAGAGCAGAGTCGTGGAGGGTCGCGACGAGTTTCGGTAGAGGAGGAACACGTCAGAATACCGAATTGAAGATATCTGGAATGCAGGCAGCGTGCCTGAAACACGTTCGCAATGGTCAGAGGTGTTTATGACTCTAGTTGACTCGAGAACGTTGGAATACACTGCTATGCTGACTCTAGAGGGGCATCTGTATCTTGGAGAGAACTGAAATCGATCAAATGGGTTCGCGCATGATGGATATGTTTTTTTTTTTTTTTCTTCACTTCAAATCAGCGCTCACAGCACTAGTGCCGTTTATTCCAACCCGTGGTCACACAGAAGAGCCTCTCTCTACCCTCCCCTCCTGCGGTACTTCGCCTTCAATTTTTAATGCGAGAAGATTTCAGCACTCTCTTCCCTCTGTGTACACACGAACTAGCGCTATCCACTTGGCCAGGAGCGGAAGCGAGAGAAAAACTCACTTTGCAAGAAAAGCTCGCCTACGCCGGGATTCGAACCCCTGACCTGACCTCTAGAAGGTTACAAGGCTGCCATCTAGACCACCGGGGCGACCGGCATAGTTTATACCCTCCAATGATTGCATCGGCAGATGTGTATTCATGGACCGATTGGATTAAAGGATGAACTACAGGATTGATGGATTCAATGAAACGATGGAAGAAATGGATTGGCGGATGAAAATGATCGATTGCCCCAGGCAGCACAGTGTTATACCCTATACGTGGCCGAGTGAATTATGTCGGGATATGAACTTTCTCCTCGAGGAAATTGCTCTCCCCTTGACGTCGGACTCTCAAAACTCCTATATCGTTGCACATGAACATGAAGGTACACGACATAACTGTTGGCCTCGTTTCACTGTCTCCCACACGTTTTCAGTACACTGTACGAGTTCTGCATCGTAGGCAAAGCACGCCCAAAATCGTTTGGCACAAACCGGGAACGAAACGGCGAATGAGTGTTCCCTAGTGTAGTCACATAGTCAGCCATGCATAGCCATGAACTACAGTATACGTGCATCTGGCAATGAGGTTGCACCTCTTTTCCAGACCCAGTGTAGTGTTGAAGGTAGACGCTCTGGAGTTCATGACCGTCTTACCTTCACGACCACAGCGAGAGAGTATGGCCCATCAAGAGCCCGTTGCGCATGGGGGTACTGTATGTTCAACATAAAAACTTATAGGTCCCCAGCATTCGCAGCGGGTGTTCCTCAAAAGGAATAGGGATACTCTTGCGAGATAGACGTGGTTTACGGAAGCAACATCGATGTAGGCCACAGCTCTGTGCATCATAATCTTTCTCTTTGACCACATGAAATGCCTTGACGACCAAACCATGGTCATACGAACTGTGAAATTTGCCTGCATGCAATGCCCGTCTTTTGCTGAACGAAAATGCCTTCTAACGACTTCATTCAGTGAAATGCGATCTGATGAAATGAAACTGTACGATGATGCTGGAATATTTTGCCCGCATGAAATACCTGTAAATTTGTTTGCATCAAATGTCCGTCTTTTGCCAAGCTAACATTCGTTCAACAATGCGATGAAATGCAATCCCAAAAGAAGAATTATTATGATGCATACGACTGTGGTTGGGTGGCGGACAATAGCAAATTGATCCTGGTGGTTCGAACGACCGATTCTTCCTGCGGTGAGACTGCATCACACCTCCGAACGAATACTCAATCTTCGGATGAATGTGACATAGCAAACCCGAGGGAACCATAGGCGAATGAAAACCGAAGCACCGAATCACCCGTTACTTTCTGCCACCCGCACCGATGACAATCCCAGAACTACCCATTGCTTCCGTATTCCACTCATCACGGCAACTGCTAGCCGAGAAATAGCCCTCTTCTTCTGCGACGGCCTTTAGGTTCCACTTCAGTTCCGGGGGGCTAGCTCGACCACGGTCAACAGAGTTTGTTTGTACAGTACTCAACAAGATTCTCTTTCACAACGCACCTTGAAATGGTTCAGTGGGTGCCCACTTAGCAAGCTGCAATTATTCATGCTGCTTGCTAACCCCCATTGTTGTATTTCTTGTCGCTGCTGCTGTTCTTGCGCGATTCGATTGTTTTCGGTTTTCCTGCGGCTTGGGCAAAGTTGGACCAAAACCGCTGTGGCTCGCCTCAAGCAGGAGTCGGTTCGACCGACAAACAGCCCGAGCAGGACACTCTGGAAGGCGTACCAGCTGCGGAATATGGACGGCGAACCCATTCAGCAAGAGCCCGCGAGGTGAGCCAATGCACAACTGTACGAGAGCTAGCATAGTCTACACATTAAGCTTCGTTTGAATCCTGCTGCTGTGCCGTATATTTTAGGATTCGTATTAACACACCCTGCTTTTTAGGCCGCAGGCAACATGAAGTCGCCCACGGAAACCAAATCCGCCAGAAAGTATCCAGTAGTCTGTTTCATTGCGTTGTGTGCCTTGGTTTACCAAGGACGGCCCTACAGTAGGTTGGAGAAAGCTTCTTCACCCACCCCCTCAACCCTGCTCACTTTTGACCACCCAGTCTGGCCATGAAGCGGAGACTACTACAGAGCGGCCTGCGCTCTCGATGCGAGCGAAGGTCTTGCATCCCGGTGGACCACGGCATACTGGTGAGGAATGGGGGTGTTGCTCGTGATATTGATAAACAGCAGAAGAAGGTGACGAGGCGCATTCCTCAGCGTTATAATACCGTAGAAATCAAGAATATGTTCCCCATGAGTTTTACCCGAACTACTGGACAAAATGAAGTGAGGTGAGGCATACTGTCAAATGGAATATGAGAGTTGGAATTCGAATGGACCCGCACGACCTGTTCAATGATCATGTCGCCACGATACATTGCCTCCTCTCGCGTGATCGACTGAATGCCCACCCGGAGATTCGCGGTCGATGCCAATAACTCCAACTCCGATGCCGCACAGACGTCGGTCGCCGGGGTCAAGGCCAACAATGGCAATCGCCAGAAGGAACTGCGGGCGGACATGCACGCCATCGGTGATAGGTTAACCGTCAGGTGGGTCTTTCACACGTAATAATACTGCTCTAAAAAACGGGGTAGGTCTGCTTCGGAACATAGGTACGCCGTATTGTCATCGTGGAGAATATGGTGTAGGCAGAGCAGAGTCGTGGAGGGTCGCGACGAGTTTCGGTAGAGGAGGAACACGTCAGAATACCGAATTGAAGATATCTGGAATGCAGGCAGCGTGCCTGAAACACGTTCGCAATGGTCAGAGGTGTTTATGACTCTAGTTGACTCGAGAACGTTGGAATACACTGCTATGCTGACTCTAGAGGGGCATCTGTATCTTGGAGAGAACTGAAATCGATCAAATGGGTTCGCGCATGATGGATATGTTTTTTTTTTTTTTTCTTCACTTCAAATCAGCGCTCACAGCACTAGTGCCGTTTATTCCAACCCGTGGTCACACAGAAGAGCCTCTCTCTACCCTCCCCTCCTGCGGTACTTCGCCTTCAATTTTTAATGCGAGAAGATTTCAGCACTCTCTTCCCTCTGTGTACACACGAACTAGCGCTATCCACTTGGCCAGGAGCGGAAGCGAGAGAAAAACTCACTTTGCAAGAAAAGCTCGCCTACGCCGGGATTCGAACCCCTGACCTGACCTCTAGAAGGTTACAAGGCTGCCATCTAGACCACCGGGGCGACCGGCATAGTTTATACCCTCCAATGATTGCATCGGCAGATGTGTATTCATGGACCGATTGGATTAAAGGATGAACTACAGGATTGATGGATTCAATGAAACGATGGAAGAAATGGATTGGCGGATGAAAATGATCGATTGCCCCAGGCAGCACAGTGTTATACCCTATACGTGGCCGAGTGAATTATGTCGGGATATGAACTTTCTCCTCGAGGAAATTGCTCTCCCCTTGACGTCGGACTCTCAAAACTCCTATATCGTTGCACATGAACATGAAGGTACACGACATAACTGTTGGCCTCGTTTCACTGTCTCCCACACGTTTTCAGTACACTGTACGCGTTTTGCATCGTAGGCAAAGCACGCCCACAATCGTTTGGCACAAACCGGGAACGAAACGGCGAATGAGTATTCCCTAGTGTAGTCACATAGTCAACCATGGATAGCCATGAACTACAGTACACGTACATCTGGCCATGAGGTTGCACCTCTTTTCCAGACCCAGTGTAGTGTTGAAGGTAGACGCTCTGGAGTTCATGACCGTCTTACCTTCACGACCACAGCGAGAGAGTATGGCCCATCAAGAGCCCGTTGCGCATGGGGGTACTGTATGTTCAACATAAAAACTTATAGGTCCCCAGCATTCGCAGCGGGTGTTCCTCAAAAGGAATAGGGATACTCTTGCGAGATAGACGTGGTTTACGGAAGCAACATCGATGTAGGCCACAGCTCTGTGCATCATAATCTTTCTCTTTGACCACATGAAATGCCTTGACGACCAAACCATGGTCATACGAACTGTGAAATTTGCCTGCATGCAATGCCCGTCTTTTGCTGAACGAAAATGCCTTCTAACGACTTCATTCAGTGAAATGCGATCTGATGAAATGAAACTGTACGATGATGCTGGAATATTTTGCCCGCATGAAATACCTGTAAATTTGTTTGCATCAAATGTCCGTCTTTTGCCAAGCTAACATTCGTTCAACAATGCGATGAAATGCAATCCCAAAAGAAGAATTATTATGATGCATACGACTGTGGTTGGGTGGCGGACAATAGCAAATTGATCCTGGTGGTTCGAACGACCGATTCTTCCTGCGGTGAGACTGCATCACACCTCCGAACGAATACTCAATCTTCGGATGAATATGATATAGCAAACCCGAGGGAACCATAGGCGAATGAAAACCGAAGCACCGAATCACCCGTTACTTTCTGCCACCCGCACCGATGACAATCCCAGAACTACCCATTGATTCCGTATTCCACTCATCACGGCAACTGCTAGCCGAGAAATAGCCCTCTTCTTCTGCGACGGCCTTTAGGTTCCACTTCAGTTCAGGGGGGCTAGCTCGACCACGGTCAACAGAGTTTGTTTGTACAGTACTCAACAAGATTCTCTTTCACAACTCATCTTGAAATGGTTCAGTGGGTGCCCACTTAGCAAGCTGCAATTATTCATGCTGCTTGCTAACCCCCATTGTTGTATTTCTTGTCGCTGCTGCTGTTCTTGCGCGATTCGATTGTTTTCGGTTTTCCTGCGGCTTGGGCAAAGTTGGACCAAAACCGCTGTGGCTCGCCTCAAGCAGGAGTCGGTTCGACCGACAAACAGCCCGAGGGGGACACTCTGGAAGGCGTACCAGCTGCGGAATATGGACGGCAAACCCATTCAGCAAAAGCCCGCGAGGTGAGCCAATGCACAACTGTACGAGAGCTAGCATAGTCTACACATTAAGCTTCGTTTGAATCCTGCTGCTGTGCCGTATATTTTAGGATTCGTATTAACACACCCTGCTTTTTAGGCCGCAGGCAACATGAAGTCGCCCACGGAAACCAAATCCGCCAGAAAGTATCCAGTAGTCTGTTTCATTGCGTTGTGTGCCTTGGTTTACCAAGGACGGCCCTACAGTAGGTTGGAGAAAGCTTCTTCACCCACCCCCTCAACCCTGCTCACTTTTGACCACCCAGTCTGGCCATGAAGCGGAGACTACTACAGAGCGGCCTGCGCTCTCGATGCGAGCGAAGGTCTTGCATCCCGGTGGACCACGGCATACTGGTGAGGAATGGGGGTGTTGCTCGTGATATTGATAAACAGCAGAAGAAGGTGACGAGGTGCATTCCTCAGCGTTATAATACCGTAGAAATCAAGAATATGTTCCCCATGAGTTTTACCCGAACTACTGGACAAAATGAAGTGAGGTGAGGCATACTGTCAAATGGAATATGAGAGTTGGAATTCGAATGGACCCGCACGACCTGTTCAATGATCATGTCGCCACGATACATTGCCTCCTCTCGCGTGATCGACTGAACGCCCACCAGGAGATTCGCGGTCGATGCCAATAACTCCAACTCCGATCCCGCACAGATGTCGGTCGCCGGGGTCGAGGCCAACAACGGCAATCGCCAGAAGGAACTGCGGGCGGACATGCACGCCATCGGTGATAGGTTAACCGTCAGGTGGGTCTTTCACACGTAATAATACTGCTCTAAAGAACAGGGTTGGTCTGCTTCGAAACATAGGTACGCCGTATTGTCATCGTGGAGAATATGGTATAGGCAGAGCAGAGTCGTGGAGGGTCGCGACGAGTTTCGGTAGAGGAGGAACACGTCAGAATCCCGAATTGAAGATATCTGGAATGCAGGCAGCGTGCCTGAAACACGTTCGCAATGGTCAGAGGTGTTTATGACTCTAGTTGACTCGAGAACGTTGGAATACACTGCTATGCTGACTCTAGAGGGGCATCTGTATCTTGGAGAGAACTGAAATCGATCAAATGGGTGGACGCATGATGGATGTGGATTATACCCTCCAGTGATTGCATCGGCAGATGTGTATTCATGGGCGATGGAAGAAATGGATAAGGGGACGAAAATGATCGATTGCCCCAGGCAGCACAGTGTTACACCCTATACGTGGCCGAGTGAATTATGTCGGGATATGAACTTTCTCCTCGAGGAAATTGCTCTCCCCTTGACGTCGGACTCTCAAAACTCCTATATCGTTGCACATGAACATGAAGGTACACGACATAACTGTTGGCCTCGTTTCACTGTCTCCCACACGTTTTCAGTACACTGTACGAGTCTTCATCGGAGGCAAAGCACGCCCAAAATCGTTTGGCACAAACCGGGAACGAAACGGCGAATGAGTGTTCCCTAGTGTAGTCACATAGTCAGCCATGGATAGCCATGAACTACAGTACACGTGCATCTGGCCATGAGGTTGCACCTCTTTTCCAGACCCAGTGTAGTGTTGAAGGTAGACGCTCTGGAGTTCATGACCGTCTTACCTTCACGACCACAGCGAGAGAGTATGGCCCATCAAGAGCCCGTTGCGCATGGGGGTACTGTATGTTCAACATAAAAACTTATAGGTCCCCAGCATTCGCAGCGGGTGTTCCTCAAAAGGAATAGGGATACTCTTGCGAGATAGACGTGGTTTACGGAAGCAACATCGATGTAGGCCACAGCTCTGTGCATCATAATCTTTCTCTTTGACCATATGAAATGCCTTGACGACCAAACCATGGTCATACGAACTGTGAAATTTGCCTGCATGCAATGCCCGTCTTTTGCTGAACGAAAATGCCTTCTAACGACTTCATTCAGTGAAATGCGATCTGATGAAATGAAACTGTACGATGATGCTGGAATATTTTGCCCGCATGAAATACCTGTAAATTTGTTTGCATCAAATGTCCGTCTTTTGCCAAGCTAACATTCGTTCAACAATGCGATGAAATGCAATCCCAAAAGAAGAATTATTATGATGCATACGACTGTGGTTGGGTGGCGGACAATAGCAAATTGATCCTGGTGGTTCGAACGACCGATTCTTCCTGCGGTGAGACTGCATCACACCTCCGAACGAATACTCAATCTTCGGATGAATGTGATATAGCCAACCCGAGGGAACCATAGGCGAATGAAAACCGAAGCACCGAATCACGCGTTACTTTCTGCCACCCGCACCGATGACAATCCCAGAACTACCCATTGATTCCGTATTCCACTCATCACGGCAACTGCTAGCCGAGAAATAGCCCTCTTCTTCTGCGACGGCCTTTAGGTTCCACTTCAGTTCAGGGGGGCTAGCTCGACCACGGTCAACAGAGTTTGTTTGTACAGTACTCAACAAGATTCTCTTTCACAACGCACCTTGAAATGGTTCGGTGGGTGCCCACTTAGCAAGCTGCAATTATTCATGCTGCTTGCTAACCCCCATTGTTGTATTTCTTGTCGCTGCTGCTGTTCTTGCGCGATTCGATTGTTTTCGGTTTTCCTGCGGCTTGGGCAAAGTTGGACCAAAACCGCTGTGGCTCGCCTCAAGCAGGAGTCGGTTCGACCGACAAACAGCCCGAGGGGGACACTCTGGAAGGCATATCAGCAGCTGCGGAATATGGACGGCGAACCCATTCAGCAAGAGCCCACGAGGTGAGCCAATGCACAACTTACTGTGTTGCCTTGTAAAGTATGCCTACGGTTTTCACAACAATGAAACTGTAATCTTGCATGAGAGAGCGAATTGGAAGGGTTTTGCTTGGTCATGATCCAGTGGTTCCTTGTTTCACTACAGCATCACGGGCAGTATCATGGTCGGACGAGCCACCATGATGTCATTACAAATATTGTTGTGTAATGGTATGAACTAGGGTTAAGGATTGGCCCCCCGCCCCCCAATGGGGCTGGGGGCCAACTTCCAGGACGGATGGTGGTGAGTATCCGGGAGGAAGGGAAGAAGAAGAAGAAGAAGGGGAGAGGATTGGTAGGGGCGGGAAGAAGGGACGGTGTTGGGAGAGGCAAGGAAGTGGTGAAGAATTTGGGCACTCGACAAGCGCGCGGTCCCGTCGGGGGTGAAAGGGACATACATGTCAGTCCGTAGTTTTGTCTATCGGAATCGAAAAGCCGAAAAATCTAGGTAGTATTCATTATGTACATAACGATGGAGGAGGCCGACGAGGAAGGTACGAAGAGAGGAAATTGCACCCCACGTTCGTTCGAAGTTCGGAGCCGGTGTGAATACCGCCGCAAGGAAGGAGTGCGAAGGAAAAAAAACAAAAAGGAGACGTCGACGTTTGCGTCGTGGAACGATCCTTCCGTATAACGCAGGTACTCACCAAATGCAAGACGGGGAGGTAAAATACCCATCGTGAAAGTCAAAGCGCAGGTCATAACCGCATATGACTCGTGCGCGGAGAAGTTACCACGGAGACTTATCAACAAGAAGTTTGAAGGCCGGCTGAGAAGGTTTGAAGACACGATGGCAAGCGCAACGTCAAACCTTTACAAGAAGAAAAGTGCATACAAAAAAGAAAAGGCCGGATGCCGACCTATGGCTCACTCGGAATGAAGGGATTATATTCCCACAATTTCCAACAGATAATCTTCAAGTATATCTGTCGTTGATTTCTATTGACTTGCGGACCCCTCGGGGCCAGTTTATTTGAGTGTACCTTTTTAGGGTAAGTTAACCTGTGACCACGGGAATCGACCGCGTCGAGTGTTGGATCAGTACGGACATACGAAGGTACTGGGTAGTGTTATAGGATTCAGATGTGTAGACGGAACATAGAAGAGCTTGGTTCCTTCTAGAAGGCGCGGAAAGATGTAACTCTCCGCGGAAGGATAAAAAGCAGGGGACAGGATCTAGTAGCCCCTGCTTGTGCAGAGGATCCTGTGCCACTTGGTGTCATTCCTAGACCAGGAGCAGAAGCGAGAGAAAAACTCACTTTGCAAGAAAAGCTCGCTTACGCCGGGATTCGAACCCCTGACCTGACCTCTAGAAGGTTTCGCGGATACCAACTAGACCACCGGCGGGGCGACCGGCAGTATATATACTAGGGTTAAGGATTGGCCCCCCGCCTCCCAATGGGGCTGGGGGCCAACATCCAGGACGGATGGTGGTGAGTGTCCGGGAGGAAGGAAAGAAGAAGAAGAAGGGGAGAGAAGATTTTTTGGGGCGGGAAGAAGGGACGGTGTTGGGAGAGGCAAGGAAGTGGTGAAGAATTTGGGCACTCGACAAGCGCGCGGTCCCGTCGGGGGTGAAAGGGACATGTCAGTCCGTAGTCTTGTCTCTATCGGAATCGAAAAGCCGAAAAATCGAGGTATACATTACGTACATAACGATGGAGGAGGCCGACGAGGAAGGTACAAAGAGAGGAAATTTCACCCCACGTTCGAAGTCGGTGTGAAAACCGCCGCAAGGAAGGAGTGCGGAGGGAACAAAAAAAAAACAGAGACGTCGACGTTTGCGTCGTGGAACGATCCTTCCGTATAACGCAGGTACTCATCAATGCAAGACAAAGAAGGAGGTAAAATACCCATCGTGAAAGTCAAAGCGCAAGTCATACCTGCCTATGACTCATGCGCGAAGAAGTTACCACGGAGACTTATCAACAAGAAGTTTGAAGGCCGGCTGGGAAGGTTTGAAGCCACAAACACTTCAGCGACGATGGCAAGCGCAACGTCAAAACTTCGCAGGAAGAAAAGTGCATTATAAGAAAAGTGCATACACAAAATGAAAAGGCCGGATGCCGACCACCTGTGGCTCTCTCGGAATGAAGGGATTCCCACAATTTCCAACAGGTAATCCACAAGTAAGTACGGACATTTGAAGTAGTTACTGGTTAGAGAGAGATCGGAACGGTTTTTCATGTGAAGACAACAACAACAACAACAGCAACAACAACAACAACAACAACGATGATGATGAAGGTCGACCCGTCCTGCGTCGTTCGGTGTAAAATGATAAATAAATGCGAAAGAAAGGTGGACTGCGTAAAGATCCAGCGGTCTTTTTCGGCAGTGGCAAAATATGCAACCACATGTCGCAAAAAAACAAAAATTGAGCGGGATACTCTAGTCAATAGAACACCGCCTTCTCTGTTGCTGCAGGCAGGTTTGCTTCCACAACCCGGGAACCCAACCCACTCTTGTATTTCGGCCTACAAGACTCCAATCGACGCAAGCACCGGTAGGAGAGTGCGTGGAAGATGCCGTGACAACACAACTCCACTCTCCTACGACATCTATGCACAGTAGTACTGCTGCTGTCGTTGTAGCACCGTGTGGAAGATCTCCGAGGGGTCCTCCTGCGCGGTAACGACAACATGGCGAGAGCTCTACGTGTACCTGTCGTCGACACATGTGGCAGCCGCGCGACACACGAACGGATGTTTGCCTCGCACTGTACTATGGTTCGCCGTGGCAGGAAGTATCTCATCCAGTTAGGTCGTTGCGGTAGTACGCGCACGTCGTTCGGCGTCTAGTCCATACTGCTGTAGCAAAAACACAGCAGTATCTAATAACAAGAAATAAATGTATCACGTCACGACGACCATCCCGTGAGTATATATACTAGGGTTAAGGATTGGCCCCCCGCCCCCCAATGGGGCTGGGGGCCAACATCCAGGACGGATGGTGGTGAGTGTCCGGGAGGAAGGAAAGAAGAAGAAAAAGGGGAGAGGACTTGTTGGGGCGGGAAGGGACGGAGTTGGCGGAGGCAAGGAAGTGGTGAAGAATTTCGGCACTCGACGAGCGCGCGGTCCCGTCGGGGGTGAAAGGGACATGTCAGTCCGTAGTTTTGTCTATCGGAATCGAAAAGCCGAAAAATCGAGGTATACATTATGTACATAACGATGGAGAAGGCCGACGAGGAAGGTACGAAGAGAGGAAATTGCACCCCACGTTCGAAGTCGGCGTGAAAACCGCGGCAAGGAAGGAGTGCGAAGGAAAAAAAAAAAAAAAGGAGACGTTTTCGTCGTGGAACGATCCTTCCGTATAACGCAGGTACTCACCAATGCAAAACGGGGAGGTAGAATACCCATCGTGAAAGTCAAAGCGCAGGTCATAACCGCATATGACTCATGCGCGGAGAAGTTACCACGGAGATTTATCAACAACAGGTTTGAAGGCCGGCTGAGAAGGTTTGAAGACACAAATACTTAAGCGGCGATGGCAAGCGCAACGTCAAAACTTCACAAGAAGAAAAGTGCATACTTGTACAAAAAATGAAGGGGGCGGATGACGACCTATGGCTCTCTCGGAATGTAGGGATTCCCACCATTTCCAACAGGTATAATCCACAAGTAAGGACATTGAAGGTGCTGGGTAGAGAGAGATCGGAACGGTTTTTAATGTGAAGACACAACAACAACAACAATGATGAAGGTCTACCCGTCCTGCGTCGCTCGGTGTAAAATGATCAATAAATGCGAAAGATGGACTGCGTACAATGAAAAAGTACAATGTGTTATATCCACAGATAACGGTCCGGGACAAATTGCAATTGTGTTACATGGCCAACCTTGTTTTGGTGCACAACAAACTTATAAATATAGGGGTGTTTGATTTAACTAATTGTTTTGGGTTTGGGGAGAACATATATATAAAGATCCAGCGGTCTTTTTCGGCAGTGGCAAAGAAATATGCAACCACATGTATGTCGCAAAAAAAAGTGAAAAGTTGAGCGGGATACCGTAGGACATAGAACACCGCCTTCTCTGTTGCTGCAGGCAGGTTTGCTTCCACAACCCGAGAACCCAACCCACTCTTGTATTTCGGCCTACAAGACTCCAATCGACGCAAGCACCGGTAGGAGAGTGCGTGGGTGATACCGTGACAGCACAACTCCACTCTCCTACGGCATCCATGTACTGTCGTTGTAGCACCATGTGGAAGATCTCCGAGGGGTCCTCCTGTGCGGTATCAACATGGGCGAGAGTTCTACGTGTACCTGTCGTCGACACATGTGGCAGCCGCACGACACACGAACGGATGTTTGCATCGCATTGTACTATGGTTCGCAGTGACAGGAAGTATCCCATCCAGTTAGCTCGTTGCCATAGTACGCGGACGTCCTTCGGCGTCTAGTCCATACTGCTGTAGCAAAAACACAGCAGTAATCGAGCTATGCATGCAATTTTTTGCTCTGGTTCACTATTGCCTCCACAACCCGAGAATCTCACGGCTGTATCTCGACCTACAAGACTCCAATCAACAAACCAGCACCGGCAGAAGTGCGTGGAAGATGCTGTGACAGCACAAGTAAGTCGACACTCGTACGACTTCTATGTACAGTCGGCGTCTGGTACATACTGCTGCAGAAATACAACAATCGAGCCATCTTGTTTTTTTTTCCAATACTAATAACAAGAAACGTATCACGTCACGACGACCATCCTGTGAGTATATACATAACATGATCAGGCGATGCGGCCGTAGGGATAAAGGCGGCCAAAATGATGTCGCTTCGTGGTGCTAGTGAAGGACCAAACGCACCTTGCAGGGATGTTCAAAAACTGTAGACTATTTGTTGATGTTCCTTGAAACTGTCAACAAAACTTCCGGGCTGTTGAACATGGTTCAACAAGACGTCGACGAGTCACTCGCCAGTTCAACCCATCTACCTGTCAATTCTGTAACGTCCATTGCGCTCGTCCAATTCCCACCTCCCACCACACCTCACTACCCTCGACACCACCACCGACTCAGATTCAAGCTACCACGGAAACAACTATTGAAAGGCAAGGTTGACAGGGGATAGCTTCAG